CTTGTCTCTTTTAGCCTGCTATCTTTTTGTCTGTATCAGCAGCGCAAACTAATGACTCAAAACCTTTTTCACACACTCACCATTTACTATATATGTTACATAATACAATTGTATGCGTAGCTCTAAATTTCACAGCCCAGAGTGATCATAATGCAGCATCTGCACTAGTTTTTCCTTTAAAGCGACTCTTTTTTTATACAGTGAGAGTATCTGCATGACCCTTTCTCCTCTTTATCAGGGAAGTCTTCCTCCTCGTTCTACTCACCGCTGTGTGTCTCTTTCACCCCCTGCAGGAGAAGGAGAAGAAGTACATGCTGCAGGTCGACAACCTGAAGCTGCGCGATGTGGAGAAAGGCTTCATGTCCAGCAAGCATATTTTTGCCCTCTTCAACACCGAACAGAGGTGTTATTAGACACACACATTAACACTGTAACGCAGAAACAACTTAAATGCACCGCAGCATTAAAAGTTGCTCTTTCGCCCACTTTTATGTTTACATTAAATGAGTTTTGGGATTTCTGTGTGACAGCCAGTGAGGATGTAGTTGTAAAGCTGAAAGAATATCTCGATATTGGGGAAGTCTGCAGATAATTTAAAGTCCTAAGTAAAAATTATTCTAATATAAAAGGACAAGAATATAAGAAAAATGAACTTAAATTAAGAAAGTAAAGGTTTTAAATTGTGCAGAGTGCCCTTTCCAGCGTTGCATGACATTTTTAAGTATCTACATGTAAGCCAGACTTTATTGTTGTTACTGTTGTAGATAAGAAGCACTAAATTATACTTTGGGGCATTTTAATCCCAAAAAATGATAAAAGTTTTGTATGCAAAAAAAAAAAGTAGAATAAAAATGACCAGAATTATAAAGTAAATGTTGTGAAGTAACAAAAAAACTATTTTTGTAGTATAGTGGAGTAGAAAATATGAAGTAAGATAATATAAAGTGAAAACAGATAGAAATTCTGGAGGAAAGAACAAGTTCCAAGTTTTTGCATTAAAGTGTCTGTGACTGTATTTAGTTAATAACCTTCACTGGTGGAAGGACGTACAGCTGATGAGACGGGACTATTGGAATGCACTGCTCACACTGTGTCTCCACAGAAATGTGTATAAGGACTACCGTCAGCTGGAGCTTGCGTGTGAGAGTCAGGAAGACGTTGATGCCTGGAAAGCCTCCTTCCTCAGAGCCGGAGTTTATCCCGAAAGGGTCACGGTAAGATTTCATCTAAAGCACACGTGCACAGACAACACTGTGACGCAAACACTCTCACAAATGTGGAATTTTTTTCCAGTTCATATTATTTGTGTCCAGTAGTAGCTCAGGTGGTTGCTGTGATGTTTCCTTCTGCAGTCTCTTTTAATGTTATTGTGTTTCTCATTTGCCATCTGTCCTTTTCAATGTCTTTTATCTCTCATTGCTATTTGGCGTTGTAGGAGAAGGAAGGAAAGGTATGTTATTCTGGGTACTAGATCACTTTTTTGTGTTTTCTATGTAAAGCATGAACTGTACTTTTACTTAAATGGACCTGTACCTGAGTTGTGTAGCTGACAGTGATCAGTAAATGGATAGTTTAGCGTAATCATTAGGAGTAGATCTGTGAACCACTGATAGGGAATCACCTTGCTGGTGCAAAGATAGCATTTTATGCCTATCAAACTGTGTAAATTTGACTAAATAATCTTTTCTTAATAAATGCAGCACTGGTTCATCC